GATGAATGTATGCTCAGAGAAATAAACATTCACATTTTCAGTACAAGATGGTTAGCGCAGAATATAGTTTTAATAGATAAAAGATCTTGCATGTTTCCTCCGTTTGTGATCATTCAAATGTTGATTGCCAAACCTATAAAATAGTTTTATGCCCTTTCTTGCTATTACCCATGTTCTATTTTTCTTTCAAGACACTAAGTTCTTCTACGTTAAGACTTAACCCATGTACTTTTATTCACAGAATTTCTCTGATATTCTAAGATATACATTTTTGTACTATATCAGTTATCTCCTATTAAATGCTTTTTTGACTTTTTCACAGTAATGTGACTCAACAAATGTTTATTGAGCAACTTCTAAAGGTTTTTGCTATGCTTGATGTAGGTGCTGCGAAGATGAACAATCTGTATTCTATGAATGGAGAGTCTATTTTTTGAGATCAAGGATTGAAAATCATAGTATTTGTATTGAGTCAAAGTAATGTTTACTGTCTAAGTTATTTTTAACTTAGACAAAATCTGACTCTTAGAATCATGAAATATATGGTTTATATCTCTATAATTTATATTTCTGTCTGATTATGTCATATACCTACATTTTTCTTCATGAAATTAAAAACAAAATATTTTAATCATGGGTGATTTATGAAACATCTGAATTTCCACTACAGAAAATACTATTTTTTGAGAATTTTATTGTCATATAATTCATATAGGTGGAACTGGTTGGAAATCAGAATTTTGGACCTTAATCCGTTATTCTGTCCATGTTACTTATAGTCTGTGAACCAGTGACCCTTTGGGACTTTTCTGACCCAGTGAACTATGGGAAAAGAAGTTCATACCAGAATATACATAAATCCATGCTTGCAAATATGAACTAATGCTTCCTTCACCTAGAAAGCATTGCTTCTGAAGAAAGGGAAAGGCTAGCTGAACACAGCAGTGTGCTCAGTAACGTGGTGGGTCTACGCTGTGGTCCACCTCTGATACTTCTCAGTTACGTAACAAAGCTAGTTCATGGACTCAGCCCTTTAAACAGCGCTGCCTAGATCTTTATGCACTCTCTGACCATGATGGAAGGCTGTCTTATTTTAGAATAAACAGAGAATATGACAATAACGTACTGTTTCCTCCCCTCCCTCCAGCAAGAGAATACTGTAAAGTTACTTTGTACGGAGTAGTCCACTTTTAATGTTTCATGGCACGACTTGACATAAGGAAGTCAAAAACCACTGTCATTGACCCTTATATGTCAGATACCACTGACTGAGACAGGTCTGAAGAGCCTGCGGGAGCGTGAAGGATTTATATCCCTATCACCTTGTGTGAGCATGTGTTCAACAAGAGTTGAGTGGGTTGTTAAATATAGAGTGAATTATTAAATTCAATGAATACAGTCTTTATCATTCCTCTTGGAATTTGATTTATATTTTTCTTAAATAGGCCTGATAATGGACAATGGAACTTGCATCTCCGTGGAAAATTGCCCGTGTGTTTTTCATGGATTAGCTTATTCAGTTGGCTCAAAAATTGAACAAGAATGTACCGAATGGTAGGTGATCAGTGTATGGCCAGTTATTTTTGGTACCTGACTAGCTGACTAACTTACTGTAATGGATGCCTAAAGGAACATGCTTGCTATTAATTTTATTTCAAAAATGTAAAGTAACAAATGCTATTTTATATGAATTCCATGGAGTGGCAGCAGGGATCTATTTTGTTTTATAATGTAAGTATTATAATTTCCTTTGGTATTGTCACAAATTATTTTTTCCTTTTATTTATCTATTTATTTTGTCATAAATTCTTATACCCATGTAATATGCTGTTACATTTTCTTTATTATTGGTAAACACTAATTTGTGCAAAATTTCACTCTTAGAATTTGTGGGTGCTCCTAAACTTCTCTGTTAAATATTTTAAAGCAGTATTCTACATATTTTCAATTTTAAGTCGATTGGAAACATTTCAATGTTTTTATTAAGTTAGATTCATTAAAACTTCAGGCATACACAGGTTTGTTGTACTTTATTGCAATTTTCAGACAACACATATTTTTATAAAGTGACAGCTTTGGCAACACCATGTGGAATGTCTCTTTGCTCTAATTTCCAAGAGCAAGTGTTTGCTTTGTGTCTCTGGGTCACAATTTGAGAATTCAAACAATATTCTAAGATTTTAATCATGCTATTCTGCACTTAATAGACTACTGTATATGTAGAGTAACTTTCACATGCACTGGGGAACCAAAAAAAAAAAAAAATCAGATGTCTTGCTCTATTGCAACACTGCTGTATTGTGGTGGTCTGAAACCGAGCCTGAAGTATCTGTGAGGTGTGCTTGCACAGGCAAATGGGATAGACTTCCATGCAGCCATACAAAGAAACCACGGTCTAAATGCCCTCAAGTCCTTTTCTGTTTGGTGGTAAGACAGAGGTAGTGTGTAAAAGTGAAGTGTGATCGACTAACTCTGCTCTTGACGCTGACTTGAGTTCTTGCCTTGCAAGCACTCTGCTTCTGTTCTCCAGATCTCCTATCTACTTGGTAAGAGTGGAAGGTAGAATTTAGCTCACAGGAGAGGACAACTCCGTCCTCCCTTTATATATCTGATGTGCTTCAAAATAAATGTTGTTAATTTGAATTTTAATAAGAGAGGTAACTTACTAATCTTGACTGTGTATTCCTCTAATGACATAGGTAAATGCTCTGTTTTGTGTGTGACTTTTTAATAATTTTTGTTTTTGAGACTAAATACAGCAAAACATATGCAAACTGAACAATAGCTACATGTACAATTCACTACATTGATTACCTTCTTTGAGCTGTAGAACCATTCTTGCCTTCATTTTCCAAGTTGTTCCTTTCCCATAAACATAACCCAACATCAATGTCTTTTAAGACATTATAATGAAATGTGCAAGGAGCTAGATTTAGAAAATCAAAAAGGAAGGACATGCTCAGCATACTTTAACTTGAAAGAACCCGAGAAAAAGTTGAAGCCTCAAGTTTCAACACTGAAAGATTCCATGGACAAAACATTGAATGAAACAGGAAACATAAAAAGAAGTTGGAAAGAATATACAGAGGCACTATGCCAAAAAGAACTAATTGACATTCAACCATTTCAAGAGGTAGCATATGAATAAGAACCAATTGTACTGAAAGAAGTTCAAGTTGCACTGACAGCATTAGTCAACAACAAGGCTCCAGGAATTGATGGAATTCCAATGGACATGCTTCAACAAGCCGATGTAGCACTGCAAGGCCTCACTCATCTATGCAAAGATATTTGGAAGACAGCTTTTTAGCCAACTGACTTGAAGAGATCCATATTTATACCAATTTCAAAGAAGGATGACTCATTAGAATTCTCAAATGATGCCGAAAATCATCCAACACTGGTGGCAGCAGACATAGACAGGGAGCTGCCAGAAGTTCAGGCCAGATTCAGAAAAGGATGTGGAACAAGAGATATCATTGCTGAAAGCAGAGAATACCAGAAAGATGTTTACCTGTGTTTTATTGACTATGCAAAGGTATTTGACTGTGTGTATAACAACAAACAATGAACAGACTTATGAAGAATGGAAATTCCAAAACAGTTCATAGTGCTTGGATATGGACTAAGAGGCAATTTTGCGGAAGAACAAGAGAATACAGCATGTGTTAAAAATCAAGAAAGGTGTGCATTAGGGTTGTATCTTCTGATCATGCTTATTCAATCTGTATGATGAGCAAATAATCAGAAAATCTGGGTTATATGAAGAAAAATGTGGCATCGGGATTGGAGGGAGGCTTATTAACAACCTGTGATATGCAGATGCCACAACCATGTTTGCTGAAAACGAGGAGTAATGGAAGCGCTTGCTGATGAAAATCAAGAATTGCAGTCTTTAATCTGGATTATAGTGTAATGTAAAGAAGAACAAAATTCTAACAATTAGACCAATAGTTAACACCTTGATAAACAGAGAAAAGATTGACGTTATCTAAGACCAGATATATAATTAGTTCTCAAGTAAGCAGCAGCCTAGAGCGCCAATGACCCACTACATTGGATAAGTCTGCTGCACAAGCCTCTTTGAAGTGCTGAAAAGGAAAGCTGTTACCTTGAGGGCTAAAGCGGGCGGGACCTACACCATGGTATTTTCAATTACCTTGCATGCATGTGAAAGTTGAACATTGAATAAAGAAGATCAAAGAAAAATAGATGCATTTGAACTCTATTGCTGGCAAATCATATTCAAAGTACCGTGGTCTGCCCACAGAACAAACAGATTTGTCTCAGAAGAAGCACTACCAGAATGCTTCTTAGAGGCAAGGATGGTGAGACTTTATCTTATGTACTTTGCACATCTTATCCACCGAGATCAGTTCTGAGAGAAAAAGACACCAGGTGCAGTGAAGTGGAGGGGCAGTGAAAAAGAGGAAGGCCCATGACCAGATGGATTGACACAGGGGCTGCAACAATGGGCTCAAACATGAGCAATTGTTAGGATGACACAGGATCATGGGCTGTTTGCCTCCATTGTACACAGAGAGGGTTGCTATGAGTTTGAATGGAGTTAATGTTGCTAACAACAACTTCCCCCTCATTTTCCTAGCTGATCTGTAGAGTTGCTGTTCTCACTCGGATCACGTATAGTTGGATCTTCAAGGAAGGCAATGTTCAATGCAGACACGTCTGACTACTAGCTAAGCTAATTAATAGTTTTGTTTTAAGATTCCAGGGGATATATTTGGTTGAAGTGTTAAAGATTATCAAGCATATTCAGGGGTTCATCCAGCCTCTGCCATTCAGATATAGAATGTCTGGATTCTATGGGAATTTAAAATGATGGTTTTTAGTTTTCCTTCTTTTGATCAGAAGTATGTGTGACTTTTTTTAGTTTTATCACTGTGAAAGGATATAAAACAGAATTTCTCTGCTTACCTCATATTTTCGTTCTTGACTGATCCGCTTTGGTGATTTTACCATATAACACACACTGAGCAATAATTTAAGTAGTAACCAACCAAAGGTATCAGTAAATTTGCTTTTCCAGAATTATTTTTCAAATCAACACAAATTTGTACCAGTCTTATCCAACAAACTGGTGTACATGATGTATTTTGGACCATTAATCAACACATTGATGTAAACATTGATAACTTTCATAGGCTAGTAGAGTAATATCTTTAACATTTTTATTTAGTGTCTGTGTTGGTGGAATTTGGAACTGTACGGAACACGACTGTCCAGGTAATCTTCTAAAATATTTTTTGAGATATATATTTTAAATTGGAGGAAAATATAGCACTATGTTAATGAAGATAAATCATGTATACCCAGACATCTTGTGCTGCATAGATGCAGGTAGAGAATAAATGATACCTTTGAGCCGGCACTATTGCTAAGAATTTATTCAAAAGTTCAAATACTACAAAACCTAAAAGTTATTTGGAAGAGTTATCATTTAACTAATTACAAAATGATTTGGATAATATAATTTAATCTAGTAAATTTTCATTCAGTACATTTTATGATTTCGTTTTGAACTATATTTATGCTAATTGACTTTCTACTTTCAAAGAAGCAGGAATGTAACTTATTCTTCCTCCTCCCCTCTCCCCCCTCTTGCTTTATTATTATTATTTTTTCTTTCTTCGTAGTTCAATGTTCTGTTGTGGGTGACTCCCATTTTTCAACTTTTGATGGTAGACATTATTCTTTCATTGGCATGTGCCAGTATATCCTTCTGAAAGGCACTGGAAAAGATAGATTCACAATCACTTTACAGAAAGCTCCGTGTGAGCAGGTAAGAACAATATTTGTTTTTAACCTCAAAATGACCAGAAATATCCACATTTTCAGAAGGGGAGGGTCCAAGCTTTGTATTCAAATTAATAATGATAACATAAATGGGTATAATTACTTTCTTCACAATTTCACACATGGCTAAGATGTGTCATTATTTTATGTTCTACCAAGAAAACATGTTAACGATTAATCTTGGCTAGAGATATTAAAATGTGAAAATAAATATCTTTCAGACTAAATGAACTACTCTATTTTCAAGTGCAATATTCTTTTAAAAAGTAGTATTTTAGTGTCTATTTTATGAACATCTTCATGACGGCATATGAAGCTAAATTTTACAAACATGATTATAGACAGGATTGAACAAATTTCCTATAATTCAGAACAGATATGATTAATTGTTTTTCATACTGGGAAACTTATTTTGGATCTTTTTCTTGAAAAAAGTAACACATCAATAGTTTATAAGTAAGAAAATAAGTTCTTTCATTCATTAAAAAAATCAGATTGCCACAATTTTATGTATATTTTAAATTTTTAATGTTATTTGAAGATGGTTATTTCTACCAAAGTTCTGCAATATTTTTTGTTTTGTTTTCCTCTGCAATACGTTAGAGGCAGAAGTAGCTTTCTCCATAAACTCCAAACCAAACGCGCTCACTGCCGTTGAGTCAATGCTGCGCACAGCGACCTACCTCCCTGTGGGTTTCTGAGGCTGTCTCTGCTTATGGGAGTAGAAAGCCCAGTGTTGCTCCCGCTGAGGTGCTGGTGGCTTCCAACTGCCCACCATGTGGATCGCAGTCCAGCGTGTCACCACTATAGCACCAGGGCTCCAGCTTTCGACATGGAATTCTAAATATTCTCATGGTTATTTTATTTAATTTTATGTTTAATATGTCACTTTAACATGCCAGTGGAATACATCTTGAAAGTTACTTTATATGTTATGGAAATTTTTGGAAAACTTTACATTTTATTTGTCTTTATCATTCTCTCACTCCTCTAATTGATCATTTTATTTTTATGCAGAATCTTGGCTTGGTCTGTCTTCATTCAGTAACTTTAATTCTGGAGGATGATTTCAGCAAACAAGTAACCCTTAGCCGGGGAGGACAAATCTGGACTAGTCCTAATCAAGGCTTCAATCTGAATGGTAAGAAGCAAAGTTAGTAGTGTCCTTTAGATAAACAAACAAGCAGAGTCTTTTCCATTGGCTGATTAGTCCCACGTGAATTGAGAGCTTATGTGTTACCAGATCCTCCGCAGTGATCGTGGAGGTGCTGGTGGTGTAGTGGGTACGTGTAGGGTTGTGAGCCACATGGTTGGCAGTTTGTGACCATCTGCAGTTCTGTCAAAGACTGGGCTTTGTTCTACCACAAACAGTTAGTCTTGGGAACCCACAAGGTGTCATGGAGTTGAGGGCAGTGATTTGGTTTTAGTTTTTGGCCCTAGAATTTAGTAGAGGAGATAGATAAGCATACAACCACTTACAATAAAATATGCTGAACTCAAAAGGATGCTTAGGAACTTTGTGAGACTGAATGGAGATCAGCCCCCCAGCCCTAGAGAAAGGTGTGCATACGGAGTTTCCTGAAGGAGAGGACCTCTCATTGGGCATTTAAAGCTGATATGAGAGTCTAAGTGAGATGTCAACTAAGTCCACATGGAAGAAGCACATCAACATCAGTGACTGAAGGATTATAAATCATGTGATCTGAAGCTGAAGAGGAAATAGTATCAGAGCCTAAATTGTGAGATTCTCATTTGCAGAAGGCGATGAATGTCAGTGGAAGCCCAAGATACGTTTGTGAGATCTATACAGGAAATTAGCCTCTGCTGTTTTCCCTGTATTCCCCTAATAGAGGATGGGAAGAAACTGGTTCCCAAACAGTACATTGGAGAGATGACCAAACAGAGTGCACTGGACAGATGACCATAGGAGATCAAAAAGATAAAGCTAACTTAAACACTGAAAACCTTGCCATTGATTCCCCCCCATACAATTTGGGCCTGATCTGGGTTTCAACTTTTTCTGTTGTTGCTTTTCTTCATATTGAGGTTTAACTCTGACATCTTTTGTCACTGGGGACAGCCCTCTTGAATTTTTGCTATATGTTTTTCTGGTTTTTGGTTCATGAAACCTATAGATGATTGATGAACCTATAGAGACAGCAAGTAGAGTAAGGGTTTCTGGGGGCAGAGGGGTGAGAAAAGGGAGTGCGAAAATTGGAGTTGATGTCAAGGCGTTCAAGAAGGAAGACAATGTTTTGAAACTGGTTGTGGTAGCAATGGTACAAGATTGCTTGACATGATTGAACTATGTAATATATGATATCTGTATAAGCTCTCAATCCAGTGGTTTTGAAGTAAGAATAAAGCTGATATGAGGAAGGTACAGTAAGTGTTCCATGCAGAGCCAGGAGGTATGAAAATGTGTGTATGTTTTGGACAAATTGCAACTAGTTTTGCCCAGCTTTAGCATTAACAGAGTAAGTGCCGAATATCAGGAAAAGAGACGAAAGAAGAAGGTAGTGATGCAATTAGGAACGGCCTTCTACATAGCCCATCGAACTTGTGTTGCTGTGGTTTAGGTATCTCCACTTGTCTGTCAGTTTGTCGTGCTGTGGTGGCTTGTGTGTGCTGTGATGCTGGAAGCGTTGGCACCGGTATTTCAGATGCTGACAGGTCACCCAGAGTGAAGAGGTTTCAGCAGAGCTTCCTGACTAAGAACAGACAGTGAAGGGGGACCCAGCTCCCCACTCGGAGGAAGACGCTCTGAAACCTTATGCAGAGCACAGCTTTGAAGCATTTTCAAATCAGACATGCAGTTTTCTTAAAACAGGCTCATATATTTGTTTTCCAGAATAAGTATCATAACACTCTGACCCTCAGGAAGTACTCACAGTGGTATGATACATTACACCCTGGGCTGTGAAGTTCAAGTTTAGCAGTTTGAAACCACCGGAGAAGAATGACAAGGCTTTGTACTTCTGTGAAGATGTCCACCCACAGGAGCAGTTCTACTCTGTCTTTTATGATTTGGAATTGACTTGATGGCCATGAATTTCTTTTCTGTTTTTTTTTTAACCTCTCAGAAATGTCTCAGTTTATATTAGAAATTACATGGTCACCCTACTCAGGTGTCATGCCAAATAATTTGAATTTGATCATGTGTGAGGTGAAACCATATGAAATTTCCATCACTTGGTTATGTTTCTGTACAAAGACAGAGTTTTAAGGTGACTGACATTGTGTATATATATATTTATGGTGCTATGCCAGCAGAGTCACCATGAGCTGAAATCAACTGGATGGGAGTGATATTTCAATTTTTATTTTAGTGTCAGCAGTGTAACTGTGGAAATTCTTTTTGTCTCAGGCTAGTAGAACTAGTGGCTCATGTGGTCCATTAGTTCTTTGGGCGAATTGTTTCCTTAAAAGTCTTTGATTTTTTTCGTTCTTTGCTCTGTATGGGAAAAGACCAATTATTGTATCTTACATGGGAAGAACAACACTCTGGATGGCAGAAGTTATCAATGCAGTTTGAGCACAAGCTTCTTGTCACTCATGGTGTTTCATAAAATCATACGTATACATTGCTATGTTCTCCCTTTTTGAGGAATGTCTCAGGGTGATGAGAGAGAGTTGAGGAAAAAGCTATTAGTTTGGGAGTCATGACCAGTTTAGGGAAGAAATTAAACACACACAGATTTTTTTTTAAAGAAAGGATCAGTTTTTAAACTGCCCTCATTTCATGAGACGTTGTCAACTGAAATTACATGTTGACCTGCTAATCTACTAAAAATGTCTGCTGAATACTAACGGGGGATGGAGAAGTAAGGGAAACTGATCAAAGAAACAGGCACAAGGTGGCCAAAAAGGTCCTGGAAACCGGGGGCCAGAGGGATAGGCTGCACGCCTGGCTCTGTCACTTCTCAGAGAAGTCTTGCTGTTAGGCTGTTGTATTTTCTAACTTTGACCCAACCTTAAAACTGACGTGTATGGTTTCCTCCTACAGGGATTGTTGAAATCCAAACTCTGTCATCCTTATTTATTCTCCTAAAAACCACATTTGGTTTAAAGATCTTGTTTGCTGTCGATGGGGAGAGAATTTATATTCAGCTCACCAGTGCATGGAAAAGAAGAACATTAGGTCTGTGTGGCACTTTTAACGGGAACATAAGAGATGATTTTCTGTAAGTATAATTTCTACACAGCTAACAAAATTCAGTGACTGACAAATGATTTCATTAAAAATGTTTATGTAATGAATAGGACTTTAGCTTGCACTGTTTCTAAAGCTCTCATACATGAATCATCATGATTAAACTTTATAACAATCACTTGACTAGTATCTATTCTTCACAGAGAAGGAAACCAAAAATCTCCAAGTGACAAATCACCCAAGGCCAGATAGCTAATAGCAAAATCAAGTTCCTAAATGAGGCAGTGTGACTCAGACCTTGTGGGCTAGTCATGACCCAGCATTTACTCCCTCCACATCTATAAAGCTTAGCAATGGATTTACTTAGAAAAATCATTGCCATTAATCAGTATTATTTGGTATTAATAATTATGATTTATACTTAAAAGTATTGATATAATTTGGAATTAATGATATCTTACCACATATTTTGGATTCTAAGATACTGAGGAGCTGTGATAGTGTGTGTTTCATGGAAAGAAAAGCAGAAGTAGAAGAACCTTGCTTTTATGACAAAGTAATTTTCACATAAACATAAAATGAAGCAGTGCATAATTTTATGTCAATTCTTTGAGCATCTGTTATTGTGCTAAGCACTGTGGGCATTGTAAGCCCACATTGTAAGGAAAAAGTACATTTCTCAATCTCAAAAATTTATATTGCAGATCAATCAAAATTGGTTAACCACTTAAAAATTCGTTATGCAAAGAATTAATCAATTATATCTATACATATTAATACTTACTGATTTTTTTGAAAAATTAACCATTAAACTGTGACTACTATAAATGCAGCAGGCTTTAGAGCAAGTAGAGATCAGTGTGTGCTGGGCTAGTCACAGGACTTTGATAGAGTAGCCATATTGCCAAAATTTTGATTCCTTAAAATGGAAATGTAATCTCATCAGCATATATTCTTTTTCCTCTCAGGTTTTGTTCCTCTTTCCAATCTGTCTTGTAAAATCCCATTTGCTGTTTAATCCTGCTCAGGCATTATTTCCTTTACAAAGCTTGTTCATACCCAACCAAAATTAATTATGGCTCTGTTACTTATGAAAACCTGTTGATTACCTGGCTAGTTTCTACAAAAAATTGATGAGTTCGGTGAATAAGAATCTAGGCTTTGGTCTTTGCCTTCTGAGTCAAATGGGACTGTGGTAGCACACGTGATGGGCACTGGGAAGGAAATGTAGATGTGCAACTGACATTTTCAATTAAAATATCAATTAAAAATTTCAATAAGAAATGACAGAAGAAAATCTATTTAATTTGCTTCTCATTTGATCAATAAGACTTTAGGTTACATTGCCTTTTGATTTTATTTATTTGTAAGTCAGACTATTGATACATGTGTGAAATTGAAAACTGTAGTCCATGGTGCGGTTGCGATATTCAGAAAAGACGCAGATGAAGCCTGCTTTCTTTTCCGTGTTTGTGTGAGTGGTTAGCGTCAGTGTTTAACACATGACAGGGTGCTCTGCCTCTCTCGAAGGCACCAGTCTCATCGGTGTACAAACACTCAAGCCTGAAAACACTGCAGGATAATATTTCAGGGTCAGAGATAAGTTTTGAATATTATGTAGCATTCTGGAAAAATTAGCTAACTTTTTTTTACTTTATAAAGGTTAATAAGAATCTGTAAACATAGTGGGATGAAAAATATTACTTGAACATTCATTTTATATGCCTTGTGAAAATAAGTGGACTACAGAAAGCAGAAAGTTTATTTTGCGAAGTGAAATGCAACAGATAAATGGCCCTGCATTTCCCCGTTTTCCTTTGCCTCTTTGGATGACTGAAGGAGGAGGATTAAGCTTTGGCTCCAGTGCTCCTTTGGACCATGCTTATTCGTGTCATACTGTTAACCTATTTTACTACCTTTCCAATGATTGCGAGGGAAGGAGTAAGAGCAAATGAAGAAATTGCAAGCACCATTCATACAATATTCTGAGTTTCAGTGTTCTCATTTGTGACAGGAGATGTTGGAGTAGGTCTTTGGGGTGAAGCTGCTGTATAGGTATGAAAAGGTTTGCCATTGAGGAAGAGAAAAAGGGAAGGACAAGTTAAGGGATTGAGATTGGGTTTGAGAAAAGGGCATGGTGGAATTTTTTGCTTTTTTGCGTGGCTGTCAATGCTTCCTTCTCTGTCCTCTCTCCATCACAGGGTGAGACGTCCCATATAGTTAGTTTATGATCACCCAGTCAGATGGTAACCAAAGCAGTGAATCTATTAGGACTCTGTAGAGAGCCGAGTTGATGCATATTCTACTTACTTGGCCGTGTTCTTGTAATTAATGCAGTCAGGGCTGGAGGTGTGACCAAACACGTCTGTACAGGAGACTTAGTCAAACTTGATTTCCGAAGTATTTTTGACAGTATATAGTGCAATGTCCAATAAGGATCGACAATAAACGTTAGCTGATGAACTAACAGAGCTTGGTGGCTGCTAGAGGTGGAACTTCAGTGTTTAGCTCCTAAACATCTTTGTTGTGGATAAACCTGTACATGTTTTTCTCTTACTGAAGTTGTGAGTAAATGCAAATGAAGGGAGCCTACCCTTACCGTGGAGACTCAGTATGGAAGGCCCGGTAAAGTAAATTGAGCTACTGAGCCAGCAATGAGTGTGGTGTTGACTAGGTTCCAACTCACAAGGACCCTCGACATGGCAGAACTGAACACCGCCCGTCCTAAGCCATCCTCCCAATTGTTATGCTTCAGCCGATTGTTGCAGCCACGGGGTCAGTCCATCTTCCCTAGACTCTTCCTCTCTTTCACCGACTCTCTCTGTTACCAAGCACAATGTCCTTCTCTGAGGACTGGCCTCTCCTGATAACACGTACAAATTATGTGAGACGAGGCTTCCCCAACCTTACTTCTAAGGAGCATGTTGCTGTACCTCCTCCCAGACAAATTTGTTTGTTCTCTTGCCAGTCCCTGCTGCTTTCCGTATTCTTCACTAGCACCATGATTCAAAGGCACCATTTCTCCTCTGACCTTCGGTACTCATGGGCCAGCTTTCCCATGCAGGCAGGGCGATTGAAAATACCATGACCTGGATCAGACATACTTCAGTCCTCAAGCGACAGCTTTTGTCCTTAAGATTTTAAACAGGTATGGTGCCTTATATTTTCCCACTTTGTCATCTGATTCCTTGACTGGTACTTCCATAAGGATTGATTGTGGATCCAAGTAAAATGAAGTCCTTGATACCATTAATCTGTCCTTTGCTCATTATGATGCTACCTATTGATCCAGTTGAGAGAGTTATTTTTCTTTACATTGAGTTGTAATCAATACTGAATCTTACAGTCTTTGACCTTCACCAGTAAGTGCTTCAGGTCCTCTTGGCTTATGCAAGCAGTATTGTGTTATATGCGTATTACAAATTGTTAGTGAGTCTTCCTTCAATCCTCATGACACCTTCTTCTTGCCATTGTCCCGCTTCTCAGATTACTTGCTCAGCATACAGACGGAACACGGATGGTGGGAGGATACTATCCGGAAGCACATCTCTGATTTTAAGCCATGCTGCTTCCCCTTGTTTTGTTTTAATTATTTCCTCTTGGCCTGTGTACAGGTTCTATAGGAGCACAGTTTAATGTCCTGAATTTCCATTCTTCTCAATGGTAGCCATTGATTTACACCGTTAAATGTTTTTGCCTAGCTAATACAATATATGTAAACCTCTTTCTGATATTCTGTTTTCAGCCAAGATCCTCTGACATTAGCAATGGTATCCCACTTCTCAAGCTTCTTCTGAATTCAGTTTGAATTTCTGGCAGCTCCCTGTCAATGTATTGATGCTAACATTAAAAAAAATTATTCTCATCAAACTTTTCACTTGCATGTGATACTAATGATATTGCTAGATAACGTCTGTATTCTGTTGCATCACCTTTCTTTGTAATGGGCACACATATGGATCTCTTCTAATCAGTTGGCCAGGTAGCATATTTCTTGGCATATACTAGCGAGTGCTGCTAGCACTACATTGGTTTGTTGAAACACTTCAAATTAGCAGTCTGTCAATTCCTGGATCCTTGATTTTTCTGTGCCATCGTTTTTAGTGCAACTTGAATTTCTTCATTTAATATCACTAGTTATTGATTGTACACTACCTCTTGAAATGATTGGATGTTGTACCTTAACCATTCCTAGTCTTTATGCATTCTATCTTTATGCACACGTTTTTGGG